ATTTGTAAGTCAAGAGATAATAGTGAAGCTATGGTACTGGTTTTGTTGGATAATATTAAGGCGTTTGACACTCTTAATCATGATATACTCAATTCAATTTTTCATTATATAAGTTTTACAAATCCCGCATCATCGCTAATAACCTCATTTCTCTGTGATAGGAAGCAGCGAGTATCACTCGATAATAAGTTTTCACAACCTCTTGTCATGCTGTCTGGTGTGCACAAGGAAGTATATTAGGGTCGTTGCTGTATTTTGTCTACACTTTAAATATTATTAAATCACTGGTTTATTGTAAACATCATATGTATGCGGATATTACTATTCTTTTAATCCCTCTGAAGTAGTCCATGCTAACTTTAAGATTAATAATGATTCATGTAACTTGGCATCTGCGTCTAAAAATCATTTGTTAAAAATAAACCAAAAAAATCTGCTGCCTTGCTTTTCTGTGGTAATAATATTAGAGCTAACTTATTGGACAGACTGATGATAATATAGAATTTAAAGATTTGGCAAAAAATTTAGGTCTTGTTATTGATTATAATCTTTGATTTAAAGAGCATGTAACTAGTATTCTTGCGAAAGCGTATTCTGTGTTGAAAATGATATATTCGCACACTATCTGAACAGAAATATAAAAAAAATGTTATGTGATACCATCATTCTATCCATATGTAGTTATTGTGATAATGTGTATTGTCCGTGCTTGGATAATATCGATTCTAAACGTTTACAAAAATTGCAAAACTCTTGTCTTAGATTTATATTTGGAATCAGACGCACACAAAGAATTTCACACAAACTAAAGGAATTATCTTGGCTCAATATGTGCAATAGAAGATACTTGCATCTAACTTGTTTCTGTTAAAAGATTTTGCAATTTAAGGCCCCTCCATATTCATATAGAAAAATTAAATTCAGGACTGTCGTTCATAATTTAAACATTCGCAGAAAACATATATTAAACACACCTTATCATCGCAAGCAAATTTTTAAACGCTCTTTTAGTTATAATATAGTTTCATGTATTAATAAGCAGAACGTTATTGATCTTTCTCTGTCCTGCAATTTATTTAAAGCAAAATTGCAATCAAAACTGTTATCTGCACAATGACTCCATATTGTTCAATTATTATTGTTATTATTATAACTTTTTCTTTTCATTCTTTTCTATTTTATTATTATTTTTCTCCATTTTCTATTCTCTTTTCCTTTCCGTTCACCATTACCATACATGCACATATATTTTGTTTATTTCAGCCGTCTTAAAAGTATCTGATATTTTAGAATTGTATAGGTTTTAACAGATCCTGATTTTCCAAATCAGTAAGCTGACATATTAACCTTTTATTTCCAAAAATAATGTCTGTAAAATGTTATGCCATTGTACTTGAAATTGGAGATAATAAATATTATTATTATAATTATTATAATTATTATTATTATTATTATTATTATTATTATTATTATGAAAATGTATTTTTTTGTAACTTTTGTACCTGGAATACCGAGTCCTACAGGAAAAAAATTATAGAGCAAACTATAATTATTTTTTAGTAATAAATCTAGTCTTTCAGTTTAAAGTGAAATCACCCTGTAGTTTATATTTTCAGCAGCCTTTTGAACAGAGTAGACCATGAAATTGGGATGGAAATAAAAATTTTGTACGGTGAGGCAAATCTCCAAGCTATCCAAGAATTTGAAGAAATTTCCAGCTTGAACAAGAAATATTGTTTGAATTCGAAATTTCTTACTCCAACTCGAAATTTGATAAACTTGAAAATATATATTTAATAAAATTAATATTGTTAATTTAATAAAAAAGGAATATTATAATTCTAACAATTCTAATAATTAACAATTCTAATAATTTAAAAAGCAAAACTATAACTAAAAAACTTATTAGTGTGTGCGTGAGATAAACATAAAAATGTAAAAAGTTATTTGACCTCCGACTATCAATGTCAATTTATGTAAAAAAAAAGAAGAAATAATAGTACATACATAAAAAATATAATGCATGTTAGTTTTAGTTCCAAATTTTCCTTATCTCTTAGTGCACAGAGTTATTTTTGGACATGATGTTTAGATATTTGCATATTCTTTATAATCTAAAATACATATCTATATTTAGATCTCCTAATATAAGTGTATTCAAGATTATATTGCTGATTTACTAGCCATTCAGTTAAGTCACTGTTACACTTTAATAGGTAAGAGGCTGAATTTCTATAAATCGCTAAAAATTAAATAGTTTTATTTGCGTGACTAAAGTTCTATAATTTTTTTTTATTATATCTAATGCTTTAGCAGCTGGACATTTAAAATCTCTAGGATATGGATTCATTTATAACAGCATAAGCACATTGAACAAGGACACTTCTAAATCCAGGGTGAAGTTTCAAAAAAATAATAATAATTTCAACACCCCCGGACATTTAAAAAAATCTGATCAATTTTTGATCTTTTGCACTATTTGGAAGAAAAAAGTATTATTTTCTTATAATGTGTTAATCTTTTTTTTAAATACATGTTTTATTCATATTCACTTATCTTCTTAATTGCATCAAAAATCGAGTAACTTGAAAACAGAACACCTTTAGGAAAATGACAAGAATAGTTTATTCATCCAAAAAGAATAAATATTTCCTTTAAAAAAAACATGTTTGTTATAAATCTCGGCCACTGGACTTAGTGAGTATTATAGATCATGAATCACGCCTGGTATTATACTAGTATAAACCAGCATACCAAACATTTCGAAAAAGTATCCTTGAAGTTTATAGGTTCATTTTTGTTACATCCTGTGTGATACTCTTTCCGTGGGATGTTGGTCGATAAAACCATTAGACATAAACTACTGAGTAACCTGGTTATTGGAGTTATAGGTTATGGGGTTGAGATTATACGGTTATGGTTAGGATGTTTGAGGTTGAATGTATAAGATTATGAGGTTATTGTGGGTGCACAGTTCCCTTTAGAGAACCGTTGTATGTAATAGGACTTTGCAGCTTGGGTTATGAGATGATATGGGGTTATCGGTGGTAAAACCCGACGTGACGAGGTTAAACGGATCACGGATTCGTATACAAGGACCCCGAAAACATGTAGTAGACATGTCTTACCTTCAGACTCAAACAACATTTTTTTGTGTGGTTGTGTAATTTTGACTTTCACAACATTGCAATAGTGACCAGTGAAAATAACTATAAGAAAATAAATTCATTTTAAAAATGCATATTTTAGGTTTTAAAGGATGCTGAATTAAGCCACGTTAAGTCAAGATTTTCCATGAAAAAAATTCCTAATATATTTCACTAAATCACCCCCATACTTGGTTTAATGTAAGTATATAAAAAAATCAACAAAACTACGACAGAATGAAATTTCATAATTGTTACAGGTGTTTTTAGTGAAAAAAGTCAAATTTTAAAATTCTTGATTTTTTTAACCTTAAGAATGCTTATACCAGTCAAACGAAGGTTTGACATAATAAACAAGCGAAAATAAGAAACTTGATGTTCTACTAGCATTTCAAGAAAATTCTCATACCAGTTCACGGTAAGTAGCATTGGGTAATAACATTATAGGCCATTCAACAGTTATGCTAAAAAAAAGTAAACAAGTCAAATTTTGTGAAATTTTAATGAAAAAAATTAACCGAAATCAGATGTTTCTAATGAAATTACATTCCTCCTAAAGGGTCGTGTAAACCGTCAAACTTGTCGGTATTGTGCAACTGAAAATTCACATTAGATGCAAGAGTATCAGGACTATAATTTTTCAAAGGGATCTTAAACAGGTCCTCAATATTTACAATTTCTGCAAGACGATTTGCTTCTCAAATTGAATAGCTGCTTCCAAAGAATTTGTAGCTTCAGCAAGATAATGCACCCCTACCCATGCTGTACTGGTAAGAAACTACTTGGACGTCTTTCGAGATAGGTGGATAGGGCGAAGGGAATGGCTACCTAGATCTCCAGATTTAATTTCTCTAGATTCGTTTTTAAGGGGATACTTAAAAAGTAAAGTATACCAAAATAGACCGCAAAATCTAGATGCATTAAAAGAACGCATTCTGATGAAGATGGCACAAATAACTCCGGAAGTTATAGACAAAGTTGGAGAGGAGTTTAATGTTCGTCTTTCTCACTGTATTATAACTGACAACCCTAGTAAATTTGAAAATGTATTATAACTTGGTTTGTTAAAAATAATTTTTTTGTTAGTTTAGAATTTTTCTTTTGGCACTATACCAAATTCTATTACCTAAACTTATTGAATAGAGGATTACAAGAACTTTCAAAAGAGCAGACCCACATTTATAGTAAAAAAAACACTGATGGCGTCATCACTGCCATACAGAAGACGTCATATGTAAAACAAATATCTAAATATCTTGTAGAACCCACTTTTAAAAATAAAAATTTACGTTTCAAGATTTCTGTCCAAAGATTTACGAAATAAATGAATTAATTCCTTTCATTTGATTCATACTGTATATATATATATATATCTGTCGGTGTGTGTCGTGTAAAAATTTGTTGTCATTTTAATTTCTTAATATGAAAATAACAGTATTCACAATTTTAACATGTTGACGTGTTTATGAAAGGTTTAAATCAAATAATCTAAACAATAAATTGTTATATTTAGGGCCGGTACTTTGAGTATTGGTTAAGCCTTGATTAACTAATCATATGATTAGACTGTACATATACTGATTTATTTTATAATAGTATATTCACAGTCTAATCGCCTGATTAGTTAATCAATAAATAGTTACTTCTCGTTCATTTGCATGAGTAGTCTTAATTATTAACATAACTCATGACCCATGTATTTTCAGAATTCAATTTCGTTTTTTTCCAAAATATCCAATAATAATCAATTCATTTTTACTAGAATATTTAATATCTTCGAATATTCACATGATTTTGTATTATATCTACTTTTAATTATCAATTCATATTTCAAAAATATATATTATTACTTACCTTAAGTTCCTCTTCCATTTCACTTAGTTTACGTTCCATGGCTCTTCGTTCCCTTTTCTCTAATTCGGATAAAGAATTTTTACTAGTCTGTAAAGAAATAGAAGGCATTCTATAGTTATTTTTATTATTTCAACTAGGCAGCAAAATGTATAAGAGGTAGTGGGTGTCATCTCTAGACGGACTACAGACAATGCGGTCACGCGCCCAATTTTTACGGAACACAAATGTGTCAAATGTTTTCAGATTATTTGACCAAAAAAGTAATATACACACACAATGCGAAATCAAATATTTCTTCAAATACAAATAAATGAATATGTTGTAAGCGAAGACATGCTTTTAAATATATCCATATGCAGTATCTATACCATACACCATACGGCATTTGTTTATGTTTGGCAAGTATTTGGCAAGTGACTACATTATTGGAAATTGACAGGATTGACTGCCGCAGCTGGTAATTCCTAGCCAAGACGCAGTTGAGGCTAGAGAACCAGTTAAGTTATAAAACTATTTTGCCGCTGAGTAAAACATCCTTCTAACGAATGTTACCATACTTCAAGGGTATAATCTAGAACCCAAATGGTGTCGATTTAACCAAACTCGAAAAATGTGTGTTAAATTTCTATATGTAAATAGCTTAAATTACCCCTTTCTACAAAATCTGATATGTTTTTGTATATGCCCGGGCCGTATTAAGGGCGGCAGCCATCCTTATATAAAAGAAATGCGTATAAAAATTTGAAGTGTCTGTTAAATGTCTCTACGTGAATAGCTATGCCCAGGCCGAATTAAGGGCGGCAGCCGCCCTTATGTAAAACAATGCGTATGTCAATAATTTGATAGTCTGTTAAATTTTTATACGTAAATAGCTTAAATTATCTCTTTCTACAAAGTCCCGTATGTTTTTTTATACGTCCGGGCCGTATTAAGGGCGGCAGCCACTGGTCTGTAAAAAATAATTTTGTGAAAACAAAACGTCTGACTCTTTTAGAGAAAGTATATGTAATAAATTATATATTATACAGGGTGTCCCGAAAATGGTGGGCAATCTCTCGGATATAGATAGATAATGAGAAAATAATGTCACAAGTTCATATAAATTTTTTTCCTCCGGGCTCACCCTGTAGAGTTATTAGATCTTGAAGTTGAGAAATAAAAATGTTTTTTTTGCTGTAACTTTTGTATTTTTCAATAAATTTTGAAAATTTTTTGGCTGGATCTATAATTGAAGCTGCTTTGGATGATAATATGAAATCCTCGATAATAATTATGGGGGCCCGGGGGCAAAGCACCCCCCATCAAAATTTATAGAAAATTTTTTTTTTATTCCACTGTACCCCAAATTTTCCATCATTTTATAAAAATTTATGGTATTTTACGTAAAAAAGGTATACTTGTTGAATATCCATAAAATATAATTTTGTATAATTTTTAACGTGTACTGACAGTTTCTATAGTGTGATTTTATAACAGTGGTCTTAAAGGTAAATCACATGACTTACTTTTAACCCTAGTGCTAAAAATAATTCACTTTTAACACTAGGATCATAAAATGAAATTGACTGACAGCATGCGTTAAAATTATACCTTAATGACGTTTGTAGAAAAACAAGTTTCATTTTATTTAACAGAAACACAGGTTTAATCGTAGTTGGCTTTTACATATCAGAATAAAGGACAAATAATTTGCAATAGCAGTGTTCCAAATTATGAGAATTTGGACTTTTACAAAATTTTGTAACTAATATAATTCATAATAAATTCTCAATACTAATTCCACCTTCTCTTATACAAATACGAGCTCGTTTAACAGAAGACTGTTGCACTCTCCATATCATTTCAGGATTTTGTCGTATTTCATTTGCACAATAAAAAATCCTTTCTTCTAATTCTTCTCTAGTGGTAACAGGTGTGGAATAAACAAGATTTTTCAAGTGCCCCCAAAAGAAAAAGTCAAGTGGGTTCATATCTAGAGTTTGGGCAGGCCAATGAATAGGTCCACCGCGACCTATCCAGGGATTAGGATATACCTCGTTTAAATGGTCCCTTACTGCAGCACTAAAGTGAGGCGGTGCCCCATCGTGCATGAATATAAGTGCATTTCTGGTTTGAAGATCAACATCTTCTAACTGTTGTGGTAATTGATGCACAAGGAAATCTAGGTAACGTTGACCATTCAGTCTAGGGAGTAACACAAATGGACCCAATAAGTAAGGACCAATAATTCCACTCCAAACATTAACATAAAATTGTCTTTGGTGCTTAGTTTCAATAATAGCGTGTGGGTTCTCATTAGACCAATAATGTAAATTATGGGAGTTAATAACTCCATTCCCCCAAAACTTGCTTCGTCAGTATACAGAATTAATCTCGTAAACATAGGATTTTGCTCATGTCTCTGAAGAAAAAATTGAGAAAACTGTACTCTTGCACGAAAATTATCAGGATTAAGAGCATGCACTTTATGGATATGGTAAGGGTGAAGAAGCTGTTCTCTAAGGATTCTTGTAACAGTGGTCTTTGGAAAATTGGTAAAAGATAATGACCTAATGCTAACTGTTGGATGAGCAGCAACTTCGTCCAGTATATTTTCCTATACTTCAACTGTATGTGCTGTTCGCAGGGCACCCCTGTTTGCAGTAACAGGAGCAAACTGACCCAAATACATTAAAATTTATTTAATATCCATTTTGTTTAATAATAGTAATCACATTTTACCAGTTTCTCTTAATCTTTGATCAATACGTTTGAAAGTTTTGCTATCCGGAATCCTTCTATTAGGATAAGAATGCTGATAAAATCTTCTTGCAGCCGAAGCATTACAAAGAGCCCGCCCGTACATTAAATGCATATCAGCATATTCTTTATTGGAATACTGCATATTTTATAACAAATTATGAGTTATGAGATGAGTCTTAGATTAGCATATTCTGACATGTCAAAGCCAACCACGATTAAATCTGTGTCTCAATTAAATAAAATGTCTCAAATTAAATGGTACCTTCCAGTGGCGGTTTCACCATAAGAGCTGCGGAGCTGCAGAACACATAAAATTGTATGTATTTAATCATATTAAACATCAACAAAATATTTGAAGAATCCAAATGTACTCGCGCTAAAATAAATCTAGGAGCTTATATTATTATTTATTGCGACGCGAGCTACGCTCCTTAATATATGCAACCTCATATACAAAATGTGTGCACAGCGAACAATTAGATGCGTTCTTTGTTTTTATTGGCTAATCAGGCACGTGACCTAGTACACGAAGATAGGGGCTTTTGCGGCTGCAACAGCGACAGACACTGCTGCAGTAAATGCAGTAATATTTCGTCTACAGATATTATAGTTATTAAAATGAATAGCGTTTCGTTAAAAAAAAAAAACTTTATTTGGTTCTCTGCCTTATGAGGATAAACTAAAAATAAAATAATTAGGTGGGCCAACGCCACAATTAAATGTTGAAGTTTTCTGTGATTGTACCGGGAATTAGCTGTATGGTCCCGGATTTCGGATTTGCATGTATAACTCCCGGAATATAATATAATGAACATATATATAAAAAAAGATAAAGAAAAAATCATAACACGCCGAGGAAAATTAAAATTCGTTGAATCGTTGGTAAATTTCACAAACGATTTTTTTGTTTATAAACAATATTCAATAATTTAATAAAATATATATTTAGTTTATTCCAATTTATTTATACCATCAGTAGGTAATTCGTGAATAGATATTTCAAAAAGGTATCAATTTCAAAAATCATTCTTGTAAAAATCTGTATTTTTGTATAAATGGATTGTTTCTTGAATCAGAAGTGCCAGGAAAACGCGTGACCTTGAAAATTTTAAAATTTTTCGACTGCGGCGCCATTTAGAAACTCCGGGCACTTAATATCCCGGAATTCAATTCAGCAAATGTAACAACCCTAAGCAGAACACATTCAATCAATGTTCAAGCGCAGCCACTGGTACCTTCCTCTTTAAACGGGTTTATCTCAAAAAATATCTATTTTATGGATATTCAACAAGTACACCTTTTTTACGTAAAATACCATAAATTTTTTTGAAGTGATGGAAAATTTGGGGTATAGTGGAACAAAACATTTTTTTCTAGAAATTTTGGTGGGGGGTGCTTTGCCCCCGGGCCCCCATAATTATTATCGAGGATTTCATATTATCATCCAAAGCAGCTTCAAAAATTATAGATCCAGCCAAAAAATTTTCAAAATTTATTGAAAAATACAAAAGTTACAGCAAAAAAAACATTTTTATTTCTCAACTTCAAGATCTAATAACTCTACAGGGTGAGCCCGGAGGAAAAAAATTTATATGAACTTGTGACATTATTTTCTCATTATCTATCTATATCCGAGAGATTGCCCACCATTTTCGGGACACCCTGTATAATATATAATTTATTACCCATAAATACTTTCTCTAAAAAATCAGACGTTTTGTATTCACAAAATTATTTTTTACAGACCAGTGGCTGCCGCCCTTAATACGGCCCGGACGTATAAAAAAACATACGGGACTTTGTAGAAAGAGATAAGTTAAGCTATTTACGTATAAAAATTTAACAGACACTATCAATTATTGATATACGCACTGTTGTATATATCCTTTTGTAGGATATATAGTATGTATATTTGCTAATGTCCAGTTTCCGTCAGTGCTTATATTTATTTTTTTATGTTTTTTATATTGCTCTATAAACGTTTCTATTGCGGTTCTAAATTGTTCAATATCTCGCCGATTCTCACCTCGTGGATCCAAGTAGGTTATGGTTAGAATACCAAAATCAATAATGCCGAGGCACCAATGATTTCTGTTTCTAGAAATTGGCAAGTCCAAAACGCTATTTGGTAGTATCATTGGCATTGTGTCGAAAAATTCTGTCTCGAAATTATTATTTTAGATATATTGCGGTATAGGTTTGGTCTGCAGTAAGCATTATATGCCTTTCATATCCAGAAAACGCAATGTAAATCGCAGTTTAGGGTAAAATCTGTCAGCCATTGTTTTCCACTAATGCTACTAAGGCAAACAATGTAATTATTATATCCTTCGCATCTGGCATAG